AACGTCCATGCGGTTTGTTCTGTCGCATCTGTTGACACCTGAGGTTGCCAGTAACTTCATGTTACTTGGCAACTCGTCAAAACGAGCACTTCGGAAATGCACGTTTTACGGCTGCATACGAAATAACCTATATCTATTACTTTAACTTCAGGTGCCTTAACTAATCGCTTTCTGTCATCCTCTGTCAACGAAAAAGACCTTGGTAAGCTCTATGACATCGCGACACAAGGTTACTTTCACGACATCCGAGACAAGATGATAAAGCGTAATAAAAGAAAAGAAAACCAGGTTTGTACTAATTTAAAGTGATAACCTCCCTACGGCTCTTAAGTTACAGTCAACAATATTAACGAACATAACCGTAAGTTCAGCTTCAAGTATTTGGCTGTGCCAAAGCATGTCATTGAGAAAAGGTTGTGACTTTATTTCTTTTTTTTAAATTCAGAATTCACAGGACGACTACCTCAATTCTCAATAGCCGACCGAACGTGGCTTAAGGGAATAGTCCGTGCAATTGTTTTGATGTTCTATCTAGATTTCAATAAACATTATTTTTTCAAACAGCTTACTCTTTTACTTACATGGGAAACTGTTGAAGTGTTGAGAATGTGTGTTTGAGTGTCAGTTAACTTTTGCTTAAATGCACACTCCCTATAAATAAGACATAACCTGTTCCTTCTTTTTCAGGTAATTTTAAATAACAATGAATTAGCAATTGCATTGGATATGCAAAACAATCGATGCTTAAGCTTCTGCTCTAGTGTTGTACAATAATACGATTTTCCTCTTAAATAAAATTTTGAAAAAATGTACCGCTTTTCCAGTGCATGGCAGATATATTTTGGTCTGTTGTTGAAAATAAAGGCGAACATAGGAGACCTTTGGGTTATGTCAATGGATCGAAAATGGGGGGCTAGGTGTGTATTTAGGCGAAAAGTAGACAATTAAGTAGGCAATTCCGCGGAAATTCAGGCGAGAATTCGACAATTAGGCGGATATTTAGGCGAAAAGTATACATCTCAGCGGATATTTAGGCGAAAATGCGACAATTCGGCGGATATTTAGGCGATAAAACGACGAAAAAGGGGAAATCCGCATTATTTCCACCGGACAGACGAAAAAGGCGACATTCTGATGCGTTTTCCCTTTATTTCTCCTTTCGGCTACTCTGCTTCTTGTGTTTTCTTTTACTTGCTTCTTATTTCAGCCCCCTTGAGATATGGAACTGGTGACTTAATCCTGCACCATCGTTAAAGCCTTAGATATTCCAAAGGGATATTTGGTTGAGATTTCTAGAAGCGCCCACCTTCAATGGACCTATCCTTGACCGTCAGTTGCACATTCACAACGCGACTTTCATGAAGCGCGCCAACAGTGATACTGACCAAAGCCATCTACATTCATATCTTTTAAATTATCAACCCAGCCAAATAATTTACTACAGTGGGTATTGTAACATCTGTAAAAAATTTGAACTTGCCTGTAAACTGGCATGCCTCATGTAACAAACTGCTATTTGAGAATAAATTATTATTATTTATGTAATAATCGGAAGTATTTGGATTATAGTCTGAACTAAGAATCCCAAAAATAACGTAATCGGGTCAAAAAGTATTAGATAACCACAAACGGATGTACTGTATTTAGAATTCGAAATCAAGCATGCAACAAGTACTGAGGTATCATTAGTTTACCCAAACACCACATCCGCCACGGCTTAAATTGGAGTCGAGGTGTCTGTAATCAGTTGTGCGTCTTCTCCTCAAGTTCATCCTGTGTCTTATAACAGATCACGTGAAACTGAGTTTGTTCACAATTAATTTAATCAAGTCATTTTATTAACTTATTAACGAACTGAGTCATCCTAACAACAACTTATCTATATCATTGTATCTTCATTACTATTGCGAATGTATGAACATGTATACCTGAATATTGCTTACGGCTCACGCATTTATTCACTATGCTAGTCTTGCTACTAACCACTTATTTGATTCGATGACTCATTCATTTCACTATGTATATATATGTCCATGTTATTCATATTCATTGCTCTCGCATTCGCTCTCGCTCGCTTAATTGTACTCGCGTACTCGTATTCATATTCCCTGACTCTCTCGCTTGCTTGCTTGCTTTTCGGCACAACTCTTCTGTGCTTGTTTAACGCATCTGTAATTTCGGATATCTGTGTGTGTGGTCCCGTAATAAACGAAATCAACGCTTCGTATTCGCCTTCTGATTAATATACCGTTGGGGCGTTATATAGAACGGTTATCAAGACGAACTGTATACGAGGTTTAAGGATTACATCGAATACCGACCATCACAGTCTGTCCGACATTGTATTGGACAAAGACTCTGTATTATATAGAATGCACTCATTTGTACTAGAATTAACAACCGAAATCCGAACAGACTCACCTGCTTCCTGGGATTGTGTAATCAGCATGTCGGTTGTGTACTGAAACCGCTACTACTTAGAATTTGAACAATAGACTTTAGATTATCCTCCCCCAGGAAATAATTTTGAATCTTTATATCTCCAAGTTAGGAATGATGTGACTTCATGTAAAACATATTTCTCACATTGGTTAGCGTAAACTTTAGAAGTGTTTTTGTGATACGGATAAACAGCAGTTGATATGAAATCATCCGAACGTTCATCAAACTCGAGCTCATTCAGTACTTGTGCTTCGCACTGAACAAGTTTCCCACAAGAAACAAATGCATTATAAGGACAAATAATATTTGGTATGACATCAAGCTTTGACTCTTCTGAAATAGTTTCCTCAAATTTATTAAGAATGTCATTGCAGAGTAAAGGATCATTAGAAAAATCAGCATCCATCACAACTACATCAGGTTTTCTATCATGACTAGGTTCACTCAACAAATTTTTCTCAGATTTGTAAGAAATTTCGTCAGAAATAAGTGAACCATCAGGAAAAACCATATCTGGTACAATAACGTGAGAAATCTGATAAGTTGATTGATTATAAACTGTTGTCTTGCAAGGATTCTGAGTTTCATTTAACTCTGAACTGCTATATGACTCTACACTGTCTTTTGAAATCGTTGATAAAGATAAATGATCATTATAAATGCTCAACTTAATAGAATTAGAATTACAAGACTTAATATTCGTTGCAGCAAGATGAACAGTAGTATTACAAACTGACTGAATATGTCCGATATCACCACATTTAAAGCACTTAGAATTACGAAATTTACATGAATTAAAAGAGTGGAACTTGCTACAGGACAAACATTGACCAAACTTGTGCTCATCCTCGCGAACTGCATCCAAACTCCTCAATGAATTAACTGCATAACCTTGAGTATGCACTGGGTTGGGATGACATAATGTAGTGGAATTTTTTATATCCATGTGAATCATTTTGCGAAATCTTCCTCCTTCACGACATTCGAGATTTGTATACTTAACATAGTCTAACAGTAGATCCTTGAGAGTTGTATAAGAAAGCGAAATGGGCTTTTTCGATAAAGCCAGAGTTTTTAGTAAGCTATATGCTTGTTTTCCAATGAATGTGAGGAAATGTGCTACAATATTAAAATCCTCATCATGTTCCTTGGTCATAACCCAGAGTTCGAATCTTACAAAGAAATCCTCAAAAGCATCAAAATCTGAATGTATGTTCAACCATTCCGTCACAGGCTCCATCGCGACGCCAATGTGATAATTAGAAGTATTTGGATGATAGTCTGAACTAAGAATCCTAAAATAACGTAATCGGATCAAAAAGTATTAGACAACCAAAAACGGGTGTACTGTATTTAGAATTCGAAATCAAGCATGCAACAAGTACAGAGGTATCATTGGTTCATTCAAACACCACACTTTAGCAACTCGGAGACAATGTTTTAACGCTCAGTTTACTTTGTCCAATGTTATAACGGTTAGGTTTGAACGTTTACACGTATGGGACGGTAATCTACCTTAGACGGATATCTACACTAGACTCCTTCCCATTGTGTATTCTACAGGACGTCAACACAACTCAGATCAAGAACACGTGGTTAGCCTGACCAGAGCGCAAATATGTTTCCACACCAAAAACCGGACACAAACCAACAACAATTAACAATCAATAATAAGCGAGAGTAATAATAGTAAGGATAAGAGAATATATAACTCATCTGACACCTGTCAGACCATCTGCATGTATGACTAAGCAAACAACCAATCATTATCAATCTCGCCCACACACCACCTATGATCTGAAATCTTACTCTAATTGCGACGAAAACACCTTTGACAAAACCTTGTACTGGTAACATTTAAGTGCATGTTTGGTCGCTTTGACGAAGAAACTTACCACTTATTCTTCTTTTTTTTGGATCCCATCTAGAGTATGGAAATATCGTGTTTTTTCCTTACTTCAAAAGAATAAGAACACCCGGAACGTATTCAAAGGCAAGTCATGAAATCACATCAAGAACTCGAATTCATACCTTATGAAGAGCGCATTAAATCGCTGAACCGTTACCCGTTGCAGCACAGGCATCTAAAAGTTGAATTTTTCTGATTCATAGCATCCTGAACATCCCTGAACACCGCTTGTTCAAAACTTACGTTAGCTCAGTCCCAACACAAACCTTAGAGGTAGCAACCAGAAATCGGAGACACAACATAGCAGAATGGACTGTAGGAAAGTCTTTTACTCTTTATGAGCATTCAAATTCTGAGGTGGTTCAGGTGACTTCCCAGGAGTTCTTCAAGAGTATACTTGAAAAATTCTAACGGACTCAGGACAGCACATCGTTGTTCACTGATATTTCTCTTTTTATCGTCAGATATACCTAGGGTCTTGGCTGGAGGCATCAGTGAACTACTGCTACCAGATATGGACCCCCGTTAGGCGAAAGCTTCTTCTGTTCCATCCAGAACCATTTATACCATTCGAAACTTATGACTGTAACCTTGAAATTGAGGATTGAACAAAGTTGGGGAAGTTTCGAAGACATAGTTTATCTTAGTGATGGACTCAGGTTCGTCCTAAGATTATTTGATGTGGTGGAATCCGTCTAAAACAGTGCGCCTATTTTGTTTTAAATGAGATTGCTATTGCCAAGTTTTGGACCAGAATGGCATTAGATATTGTATTGATAGCATTTTGCCAAATAGTTCAAACTTGAATTGGTTGCTGTGATATAATGCTGTAGACGTCATTCCATATGAGTGTGACATAAAATCTCAAAGGTTTCTTCTTTTAAACCTTCGTGATATACACCCAGGGTAGTTCGTGGTAGAGTCCTTCGCAGTATGCTCAACCAGCTGCAGACCTTGATCGTTGATTTGGGTTGTTTAAGAGTCCCTTGACTCCTCCAAATCCCAAGTAATCAAATTTAAACCAGACTAAAATTGTTTTATTTGCAACTGTTGAAGTTATCGCTATCGAATCCAAAACGTGCACCATTTACTCATGTTTGACCATCCTCTCAATATTATAATTGCCATAATGTAGGTCAAAATAGAGGTTATGAGTCTACCCTTGATTACGGGAGAAGATCTTTCGCGTCTATGTTTTACTTCTTGAGGCCTCATTCCATTACATGAACCAACTTTCCATTAATAGGAGTTATAATCTCTTCACATCCTGTTTCCTCGTATAGATTGTCAATAGCTTATAGACTAGACACCCCATAGATTGTCATTTCTTTTTTTAAAAATATGGGACGTATTTTGTTTACGTATAGCGTTAGCTTGGACTAATGCTTCTTATTCGAACATATCATCAGTCGAAATCACAGTTGGTACTTCCCAAATCGGGGCTAGACCTGTAACATTACACGAAGTATATTTGATGCTGGGTTCGTTGTTGATTATGCTGAACTGCACTTTCACCTATTTATTCGTTTGTTCGTCTGATGCGTATATTTCTAGTTATAACCAAAATATAAAATTTTAATTGATATGTTGGTGTTTGGACTCAGAGAGCTTCGTAAATAAATATTTCTCAATTAAAATAAATACAGTTCAGTGAAGAAACTCTTCTTTTTGATGTTATTTACTAGAGCTAAACAGTCGTATTCATAGTTATTTTACGCCTGGTGGTCTATAATACAATAGTGAATCGTCGCACTAGTTGCAAAAGCGCTTGAGGTTGGTGAAAAGTATTTTAAAGCTGCATAATAGTCGGATGATAAACATAAAAATAGTGTGAGGAAGGGAGATTAAAAAAGTTACCCGTTTGGCGAATATAGAGGAGATAACGAAGCACTAATGACGTAGAAAAGATTTGGAAAATCAGAAAGCTGTGTTAGGACCATGGCGAATTACCAACAAACACCTTAGTTATTAATTTCATCTACTCTTGAAGTATTATTCGACCAGTCACTTTTGATTTTAATCCATCCATTTTGGGCAGAACATTTTATTGAATCTAAAATGCCATTGTATCAATAATGTATTCAGAAACTGAGCCTCTTATTGTACTGGTTTTAAAGTATTGGTATAAAATATGCTAGTAATAAATAATGTTTGATATGATGTACGTACTTTTTAACGTTTTTTACGACTATTTTGAAGGAGTTCATATTTACCATAAATACAAACTGGAGTACTCTGTTGAAACAAAAATGGCCCATCTCAGTTCCTCAGGCTTTGTGTATTCAAATATCGAGCCAACTCGTTGTCCTTTTAGTTCATTAACATAGGTCATCCAGCTGCCGGTTTATACATAGCTTTCATACATTTTTTAGACTTTTTTTCTCATTAATGTTCCAGTACACTGGAATTTAAATTTGATTTAAAACAGTTATTTTGTTTTATCTGAGAAGTTTATGTCTATCATTTTATGTACAGGAATTACAGATAATATTCGACGTCGGAAACGAAGAGAACTTACAGCAGGACAAAAACAAGAAATTGTTGAAGCATTTGACCTTTTTGATACAGATAAGGATCAACAGATCAGTTATTACGAATTCAAGGTATGATCGTGATATGTATCATGATTTTCCTTACAGGTTGCACTTCGAGCACTTGGATTTGAGTTAAAAAAGCAAGAGGTTCTAAAAACTTTGGAGGACTACAACATCAAAGAAGATTCTGGAAAACTACGATTTGAAGATTTCAATGAAATAGGTGAGCATGATATTTACCGAGTTATGGTGATTTATTCTACACTTCACTAAAGATAGTGAAATTATATTATGCTCAAATCCTTAATCATATATTTTCAGAAGTCACTATTAATCCCTTATCTTTTGCTCAATGTTCCTAAAGATGATGATGTTACTGACTTAATTAATAATCCTATGGACAGCTTAAGTGACAGTGCAAGGATGTCGAGGATTCGTTTCTGTCATTCGGAATTCCAAATTATAGTCCAAAACTGATCTTTTATCCAGTCTGATTTTCAAGAATAAAGTAGGTAAACGCGTTAATCACTTCGCTTACTTCGGAAACTTCATCAAACCTGTCGAGTATGTTGACTAGGCATTGTATGGACCATTTAAGCCAATACCATGTGTTACAAAGGTGTGTAAATTTTACTTAAAGCCAATCTTTTTTAATTCTACATCCATAAATCTGGATGCAGCAGTCGTCAAAAGCAAGAAAGAAGTACCTCTGTGCTTCTCTTAAATCAGAAGTGCTATCTCATCCACAGATCAGCCCTCAGCATTAATACAACTCGTATGTTATTGATCATCGTATGGTATTTAAATACCTTATAAATGAATTTCACAAACAGTATAAAGTCTAGGATTACAGGTTTAGATGCTTCCACTAATGACACTGGTATATTAGTCAGTTAAGTTATTGAAATTAATTATTAGATTAGATTTTGGCTTCTTAAAAAAAGTACGTAGAAACATGAGTTAAGCGAAATTTCACGTTTTTTTAGACGTTTGTGTTGAATTACATAGGTTTACAGATAAAACGTTCACCAAGTCACCCTTGTGTATTGGTCCATTTGTTTTTGCAATATATGATTATCGTTTTAGACAAATCCAAATTTATTCTATTAATTCTCCAGATAGTGAATACAAACTAACAAGGATTATTTGCAAATTAAGGAATTCCACATATAACAACTTTCAATACTTCCCTCTCAAATCTTCCAGTGGAATTAGGAATTGTATAACTGTGTTTGGAAACTTTGAGGTCTTTAATGTAGTTGTTAGTTATCAGCATTAGTGCATAAGTGTAGCGTTAAACCAATTCAGCCTATTTGGGAGATTTGAAACTTTTCCGTTAATTTAAAACAAAATAGATATGTTTATACAGTCTCTCATTGAGTAGATTTAATTTCTTACGTTTTGTATCTTCGTATACCTTCTTTGGAAAATGAATAACTTCAGGTTAACAAAAGTCCGAATGATAAAAAGAGCGAATCAGGCCAGAAATTCCATTTCATGCAGTCGGTCCGCCTTGCAAATCTAAACAATACAAAGACGAAGACGTTACAAAATACAATGGATTCATCGCTTTTAGTTACTCCCTACTCAGCCATTTGTAAGTTACTAGGTATAATCAGTTATAATAATAACGTACATGGAAACCAAGGAATAAATTATGCATCTGTAAAAGAAGTCCGACTACCTATAAGCACTCCATCAAAACTTTAATCTAAACTACATTACCATTTTAAATTCCAAACACTTTCGTTGCTACATCTATTAATATTTATTTAGGAGAATCCTATTCATTTTTATAGCTTCAACTCTCGGAATCCTAATACTTGTACATTGTGATTAAGTTTCGCCACTTATCGGTTTGAGAAGTAGAAGTTAGTATTTTATCATTTTTATCCATGCCCCATCCTATTTATCATATATATATATATATATATATATAATTTTTTAGTGACAGATATGATTTTAGACAGGGATCCTGTCGCGGAAATGGTACGAGCCTTCAAGCTGTTCGATGAAGATGATTCTGGAAAAATTACTTATCGTAATCTAAAAAAGATCTCCAAGTGAGTTTTATTCAACTAATCTTTCGCATGATTATTAACGTTTTATTTATATTGTATTCATTATACTTAATCAGTTACTAATTGGAGTTTTGGGATATCATTAAGAATTACTTGCACCTGTTACCCCTCGTGGAGGAACATAGACCGCCCACCAGCATTCCCCATCGAACTCTGTCCTGAGCAACCCTTCCCTGTTTCTATTCATCCTTTTGATGTCTGCTTCCAATTCCCTGCGTAATGTGTCCTTTGGTTTTCTTCTTTTTATTTTCCCTTCAGTATTCTAAATCAGCACTTGCCTCGTGATGTAGTCTGATGATTTCCGCAATGTATATCTTATCCACTTTCATTGCCTTTTTCTAATTTCCTCTTCACCTGGAAGCTGGTTTGTTCTCTCCCACAGTAGGCTGCTGCTGATGGTATCCGGCAAACGGACATTTTGTATCTTACGTAGACAATTGTTTATAAACACTTGTGCACTTTTGATGATGGTTATAGTAGTTCTCCAAGTTTCAGCTCCATACAGTAAAACTGTATTGACGTTTGCATTTAAATTTCTGACTTTGATGTTGATTAACAGTTGTTTTGAGTTCCATACGTTCTTCAACTGTAGGAATGTTGCCCTTGTTTTGCCATTCCTTGCCTTTACATCTACATCAGATCCCCCTTGTTCATCGATGATGCTGCCGAGGTACATGAAGGTTCCCACATCTTCCAGAGCTTCTCCATTAAGTGTAAATGGATCGGTGTTCTCTGGGTTACTACTAATATTAATTGATCTAAGACTTCAATAAAATGCAATCAAGAAATCGGATTCAAAGTAGACAGAATAGGATTGTATTATATTACTGTAACAAATTAAAGCATAGCATAAAACATTTAATCATACAAAAATTGTATTCTTTCTTTACACCACTGAATATTTATCGTTGCCTTTTTAATAAATAAATAGTTATAAAGGGTAGGTCATAGAGCAAACTTTCTCTGCTTCATTCTAATCAACTCGAACTTACATTCAAATTCATGGGTTGAACTTTCCTTCAGCTTGATTTTGTAATTTTTCAAGACTTTAGCATCTACACGTTTTAGTGACCCTAAATCTGACTCCAGGTAGATCGTTATTGAAATAAACATGTCACCAATCCTTGACGTAAATCGCGTTAATGGATAACGGAATTAAATAAGTCTAATACGAGAATAAATTTCGAATAAGTATATTTCATACAATCGTTGATCCAGAATCAACGATTGTAGAAGCAAAGCGGAGAGAAATGATGCGCGGTGGAGAAGGCGTGTGAGCCAACTCGATTTGATCAAGTGTTGATCGATATTTATTGTCAGATAAAATTAAGTTACAGACATGTGATGAATAGGATAGGAAATGAACACACATACGCTTATATAGAATCAGTCAGGGTTGATAAGCGAATAATTAACAAGGTCAAAACGTGACTGAAGACGAATGAATAAATTGGTCTGTCCGGAAGCTGGAATAATCTATGTGGGCTTAACATAGCAACCAATACTACAAGGTAACTGTCATGTTGCATCAAAATATTAAAAAATAAACTTAAATCCAATTCGTATAATCAGTTTCTATACATTAAGTTTCTTTGCTCAATTCGTCTTAAGTTAGTAAAAGTTGATTTATCTTGTTGTTGTTGATAAACCTTCGATGTTTAGGCAGTATGTAATTGCTCAAATAGTAATATTTTAGGCAAATCAACTTAGAGAAGTCACAGTTTTATACATCTAATTAAGTAGATATCACATTAAACATTTATGGATGACAAATTGATGCTTTATATGGTAGGTGGTTTCTGCTCAAATATTTGGTTTCCTATTTAGAACAAACAAGTGTAATTACCCTTCAAGCCATCTTTGTAAATTAATAAAAGTCGTTAATGATTTCTATTGTTTTTTTTACTACTCGTAAGTAGTTAAAGTTAGTTTACTCGAATCTCTATGTCCATTTCTCCAGTTTTTTGATAATCAGTTACTTTAGCATCCATTTTCTCCATAATTCATCTTTTAATATTGAGATGTATAATGCAGGAAACTACAATATCACTGGCTTCTGTTATGAGTCATATTCGGTAAAATATCAAAACACTGAGTTGGGCAATCTCTAGGACCGACAGATGACAGTTCTACACGACTTATTTTCATATCGTAGAATCATGTCATAAGGTAACCAAATCTTCGGTTTCACTAGCCATTCCTAGCATCAGCAAATAATCCATGCTATGGCGTGACATACGTCTAACTAATATCAGATCATGATGAGTATCATTTACAATTTGAATCTTCATAAACCATGTTGTTTCTTTTTACTTCCTATATTGTCTTCCTATATCTAGCAAGTGATTTCACTTAGCCCTAAACATTAACAATTAAATGGATCAGTTATAAATATATTTAAAACATTACATGTGGAACTATTTCACCAGGCTATTTATTTATTGATTTATTATTATCTCTTTTTAAAATTCTTGTGACTGACTTGCAATCCGCACAGGATGCACATATACCAAAAGAGATTGACCAATTGCAGTGCTAAGCATCACTGGGAACACTCAAACAACCAATACAAATGAATTATTAATGCTGTTTTTATACAAAGATTGAGTTGACATTCTGACTGGAACTTTTAGAAAGTATTATCATTATTTTGATATCACTGTTAGATTTTCCCCAACAAGAACATGATTTTTTGGTTGAGATCATGAATCAATTGATGTTAGACCACCGCTGGAAACCTGGAAGCACTGGACGGCCGTTTCGTCCTAGTATGGGACTCCTCAGCAATGCGCATCCACGATCCCGCACCCCGCGGGATTCGAACCCAGGACCTACTGGCTTCGCGCCTGAGCACTTAACCATTAGACCACTGAGCCGGCATCCAATGGTGTTAGTGTCTAACATCAACCAAGTCACGAAATTGCGCGACCAACTTCCATTGTACTGAGGCAGATACCTGTCTCTACCCGACACGGATTAGCTCCACTGGTCACGACTTCTCACTAGAACTCCGAGAATTCCCTCACGAAGCTAGTCACTAGTGAGCACATGTTATTTGTCAGTATGGGGGTTGTGGAGATTGTTAAGTTTTTGGTTGAGATCATGAAGTCGTGACCAGTGGAGCTAATCCGTGTCGGGTAGAGACAGGTATCTGCCTCAGTACAATGGAAGTTGGTCGCGCAATTTCGTGACTTGGTTGATGTTAGACACTAACACCATTGGATGCCGGCTCAGTGGTCTAATGGTTAAGTGCTCAGGCGCGAAGCCAGTAGGTCCTGGGTTCGAATCCCGCGGGGTGCGGGATCGTGGATGCGCACTGCTGAGGAGTCCCATACTAGGACGAAACGGCCGTCCAGTGCTTCCAGGTTTCCAACGGTGGTCTAACATCAATTGATTCATGATCTCAACCAAAAACTTAACAATCTCCACAACCCCCATACTGACAAAGAACATGATTAACAACAAGTTATTTAAATTTGTTTTGTATTATTTGTTTGGATCTTCCCATTGATGTTTAGGACTGTAGTTGATCAGTCTCTTATTGGTATATTTGCATCCTGTCCGGATTTCCTTAAATCACGAGAATTACAAGTAAAGATGGATAGTGGTTAGCAGTGGGATCCAGAACGCACGTTTCGTCCTATTTGGAACTGCATCCCAGAGTTGATGTTCACTCCAGGACTCGCACCCAGTACCTAAACATCAATAGGAAGATTAAAATAAACAATACAATATGGATTTAAACTTCACCCTATTGCATAAGCTAATGGCTATAGAACTCAGTAGCTAAGTTGATAACGTGATGGCGTTTGAAGTTAATGGCACTGGGTTGGAGTCCCGGAGTGAACATCAACTCTGGGATGCAGGTACGTCCAACTGATGAGTCCCAAACAGTACGAAACATGCGTCCTGGATTCTACTGCTACCCACCATCCAACAGGTTATCTAGTTTTATTATGATTTTTTAGATTGTCTATTAACAATTTCTTATAGGATTATGAGAAATTTTGATGTTATAGCCGTAAACATTCTTTTATAATTAAATAAATACAAACACGTACAGTTTTTAGTTTTTCATGAAGTTTTGAATGAAGAAATTACAAAATGTACGGAATAAAGTCCATTCAATGACTTGACATAAGGTCCATATATTTATGTACCCGACTTGTTAGTGGTTCATACTACTTACCAACACATTGTTCACCTTTTTTTTGAAAAAAAGGCCATCTAAAGTGACCACATTTCAGATACTTTTAACAGTATGGTCGTTAAAACGGAAATATTTTTCAAAAAATGCTGATCTATTTATTTGCTACTTTTTTTCTCACAAGCGAAATAATTACCTTTTATAAAGGATTTCCAGTGTTTCGTGTATCTAGAAACTGTTCTTTATATGCTCACTCTATTACTTGCCTACAATTGTGGGTTGAAATTTCTTTTTGTGATATATGCATTTGAAAGCTTTATGAGCTCATTGGTTTGCATTAGTAGTTAAATGGATTTTAATTTAATGAACATTCAACATTTTAGAATTTCACTTGAATTGCTTCAAACTATCATACTTCATAACTGCATAGAAGTGAAAAGACATAAAAATAGCATTGAAGTGGGTTTAAAGGAGTAAAACAATTAATTCGTAAAGTGATTTTCAACATCTAGAAAAAAGTAATTGAACTCATGATCTCGATCCATTTTTAGCCATTTTTTTCATTATCTCTAACCCTCAATTTTTTTTCATTTTCGGGCCCCTCTCAAGAAGTTACCACCTTCTTTGTATGAATTGATTTAACACAAATTAACCTAATAGACTGCCTCTATTTCCTACTTTTTCTATCCACACTCTGTTCCAACCTATTCCGTTCATCTCACAGCCTGAAAAGTAGGTAGTGACTTAAAACGACCTAGTCTGTCTTCATAAATTTGTAACCTTATTGAGTAGCTGACCTTTTTGTCTAAATTCTTTGCTTCTTTATTTTGAAGCCGACCATTTAGTGGTCCATCACATACGGTTAATTCTGGAAAGATATTTGTCATAGAACACCTTTCTGTCTACTCATATCTGCCATATCTCAGGAATGTAATGGATTTTGATCGCGCTTTTTGCTGTATAGATTAGCGAACCCCATGCAAATCCTTTGTATTCTTGATAAGACTTCAAATAAACAAAATGATCAGTGCGTTAAAACATTCTACCCACTATTCTTATCCTGTCTGAAATTACAGGCAGGTGCGAAACGCATAACAAGTATTCTCTGATTTTATTCAAGATGCTTTGAAGACCCAATTTATTTAATATTATGAAGCACATTTGTTTGTTTTTATACATTACCCAACAAAATATTCGATTTGCTTAAATAGTTACTAGAAATTCCCACGGTATCATCATTGTATTTGATTTGACTGTCAAAATTAGCATACTCATCTGATATCCTAGTTACACGTGACTGTAGATACTGATTAAGCTTAAGGCAGTTAGAATTAATTGGTTTATAAATTTTTGGTGGTGTATTACTATATTTACCAAGGCATTTTTTAAATTTTTTCAATTTCTCAGTTAAAACAATGTCAAAAAAGATCTCTTTCGTATACTTACCTACCTATAATGATTATAAAATATATTTACTGATCAAACTTTCTCATTTATAAAGTTTATTACTAATCTATCCACTCCACTTATGACAGGCAGAAGTCGAATTACACTTCATTCACTAAAAGTATACATTCTAAATCACCAGTTTATTTGCCTTTTCTTTGCTATGATACAGAATTTGTAAAGAATTAGTGAATTGTAAAATTTCTCGAATATCAAACTTTTTAATAATACCCCTAGGACTAATGTGTTACTATTTTTACATTTATCCAGTCAAATAATAGTAGTCTATTTGTCTATCATTTAATTTGATTTCACCCCAGACTATGGACATTTGATCAATGATATTAGTTTCTTTTTTTTTGTCTAATTAATTTGATCAGTATTTTCTTTTAAGGAAATAAATTGTCTATTTCATCATATGCTATGAAGAAAATTATTTGATGAAACCTTATTTAAGAAAACACTGTCAGATAACTAATTAAAATACTTTATGAAATTATCAAGGACTAAATAATTTTATTGGAATATAAAACTATAACTTTCAAATGTTTATGTTCAGTAATAAACCTTCTCTTAGACTCCAAAAAAATATAAACTTTGTAAGGGTATTATCTGATAATCCGATAAAAGTTAATCTGTTTTATTTTGTTTTGTATCCATCTTGACTTTGAAGTTTATTAGTTCACATAATTCATGAAGGTTTTCCAACTTTTCAAAGTAAAATTCTAAACTATTAATCCTTTATACTAAACCTTTTCATAATGTCTATAGTAAACTCCCACTTCCATATATCTACTTTGTTTGATATATAATGAAACTAGCTGAACTACTGATCATTTCATTTGTCTGCTAAACTGGTAGCAAAGACTAATCTAAACTCTTTCTTAATTAATAGTTGTGATTGTTCGAAATAAGCAACATAAGGTTACAGATTTTTGTCATTATAATCCTGAAAGCTATAGTCACATGTAATAGGATATTTCAAAATTTTATGTTTAGTGTTATGTAAAGGAGTTTCAAGCACTCGATTATAAAACTTTGGATTGCAAGTTTAAGTAACACTCAATGTTACTCTAGATAGTTTAGAAGTCTTTGTAACTTTCCCATAAGTATGGCTCAAAATGTACACGTACTCGTACTCACCTACTAAATTCAGTTACTACGTTTTTTATTAAACCTGTCGAATCACGTGTTTTATGCATATAGTACAACCCACATTGTTACGTAACTAGCTTATGCAGAAAGGGGGATGAATAAAGTTCCAAAGAGTTCAAATAAAAATATGATAATTCGTTAAGTTCTTTGATTGCTAGTCTGAGGAATTATAAATATTCTGAGTGAAGTCAACTAAGCAGAAGTCTTTATTTAATGATACATTCTATTCTGTCTGATGCACTAAATGCTTGCAACAGTAAATTTATAACAGATTTTTAAATTCCTGCAATCGTCGTCACTTTAACGTCGAATAAGATAAAGGGGAAAAATAAGATAGCATTTTCATTCTCAAGGTTACCATATTTTGGATAAATCAAAAGAAATTTATAACATCCTCGGTAACCTTGGCACACTCCCGCGAGACCATAATTTATGGACAACTTGTCAGCGATGCCAAAGTAACCTTGAGAAAGTTCACCTACTAGAGTCTAAAGAAGATTATAAATTAGTGTGAGAAATCAGAACCGGGACTTAGAGTTAGAAGCTATGGTTAGGAATTAGAAGTAGGGTTTACGTCACGAAATAACGTCAACTATAGTACCAATATTCTATTTAGCCATATGGATGAATGAAGTTTGCACCAAAATATAAGACTCACTTTCTTAAATCTGATTAGTTTGTTCATAAATTACAATCTCGCTGAAATTTCTGGGAAAAATACTGATATTTGAGATAATCTGGTTGCTTTGTTACTCAATTAGTTCACCGGTTGATTGAATAAAATTAGTAAGAGCTTTTCAACCTCTTGAGATTTTAAGGAACACTTGAAGATATCTCGTATTATATATCTATTCACCATTTCATCATATAGAATTCACATCTTATTGTTCAGAATTTTCACACTCCCCCCCTAACTTTTTCATTTTGGTATATTCCTAATTACTGTTGGTTATTGTTGTTGTCGTCGATACTGTAAGCGTATTTATATTTTGTGATAATCATTAGACTCTTGTATACCTTATGCTGTTTAACAGTTAAAGGCTTTTTGTCAAGTGTTACATTATTTTCATATCTCAGCAATAATCATATCAAATAAAAAGTTTTCATTATGCTATAAATTGAAAGTAACAGCTATCCAAAGGACTAAAATAATTAGTTTTTGAAAGAAAAAGACATTTTTTTGGTAAGATAAGATCACTGAGTTTGATTCCAGGATAGTTTAGAATGATTTCATTGTTTGATATTTCCTTGTTACTGTGTTGTATCATTTGGTTTCAGGCTTTTATGGAGAAATCTTCACATGTTCTATTTTTTTAGTCGGTTATTCATTTTTCCTATTTTTGTTAATATGTTTCGACATAATCCATTAATAGATAAATAATGTATTTGTAATATCCCAATGAGTATAAAAATTAGATTTTCTGACGTTTCGTGACTTAGTGTAAGCCACCCCTTACACTAAGTCACGAAACGTCAGAAAATCTAATTTTTATACTCATTGGGATATTACAAACATTTTATTTATTTATAACAATCTACCCAATGCTCAATTTATTCGAAATTATCAAGTCAAACCTTGTAATGATACCTATAATCTATTGATGAAATCTTTTCATATATCTTAAGAAATAAGTATCATATACTTTTCTTTATAATGTATATTAAGGGAAGAACTCACTGAATAAAATATCTAATACGTTGTTATGATTCGTTCAGTCTGATAAGCTGATTGATAAGATTGAGGTTTCCAAAATTGATAAGTTTCACTCACTTGAGTGATCTCCAAATCACAACCGCATGGATTTCAAAAGTCTGAGCATCTATCCAACTGATTATGTGTGTTAAGATATACAAACTATTAGTCATGTCATATGCTCAGTCGAAATGGTAAAACTGAGTCTGTTTGCAGATGAACTGTGGGACAAAATAGAGATCACAAATTGACCGATGATTCTTTCAATTTTATCTATCATTGAACTATTATTAGGTAAAATCTTAATGTAACACTATCATGCCTATTTACTCGAAGCACCTGGACTGATTGTTTTTGCAATATCTACCAAATAAAATTTATCTATAATATATGAATCCATGCAATACTTTTTTGTTGATTAAGTTTTAATAGAACGATCAAATTAATATATTATGACAAAAAACCCAGATAACTTTGTAGTTGGGATGGAATAAAATAGTTGTTTCAAATCGATATGACGAGTAGAAACGTGGTCTCATTAGTAGTTTACGCTTTCCATTTCTACCATTAATCGACTGCTTGTTATCCGATAAGTCAACCCTACTGCTTTGGTTGAATATTCTGTATGTAATTTCCTAATATATTTTTAATCCGTTGGAGAGTTATTCTGTTTTCGTAAACCTGTTTGTGTGGGAATTCGGAAAAGCTTCCGCAAAAAAAATTATCCATTTGGCAGCTTCAATCACTGGAATTTTACTAATCAATTATTCGCTCATAACACGAAGCTCTTAGGACAGTTTGGATTGCTGAATAAGTATTTGAGTACTTTTAACAAAATCATGATTATAATTTTACTATTCATTGTGGGTTGATACATCTGTTTCTTGTTTGTTTTCTCTTAGAGAACTTGGTGAAAATTTATCAGACCAGGAACTTCGTGCTATGATAGAGGAATTTGATCGAGACGGAGATGGTGCGCGTAAGTTTATAGCAGCTAGTTTATTTTGGTGCAGGTTAATTCTGTATACCTTCACTTTAAATAAAACACGCTCGTAGCAATGGTCTTTTATCAACTTATGATAATCACTTCAGTTTTTCAGGTTAATTTTGAGTGTTCCACTGTCACTAATTATTATTACTGTTATTATTGTGTGGTGTTTAAAATGTTTGATGATTCGAGTGATAACGTATGAGGAATATTACGATCTTCAACTTGTACCGCACACCTCATTCTCTGGTTTTGACCTGAATCACTCAGAATTATTGTCTTCCATTGCTGCACGGACAGTTTTGGCTTACACCTTATAGGTAGAACTTCTTCAGAGTTGTCGGGTGTCTTTTGATTCATTATCAGTAATACTCATCCAATTGTTTTATTCTGTTGATTCCAATCATCTTACAGCTATTTACATATTAAAATTAAAAGAAAGATAATGTCAAGTTTGAGTTTCATGACCACTTTACTCCATGATTCGATTAATGCACATGCTAAAAGAATCAATATTAATAAATTTCAGCATATTGTATACATCGTTTTAATTCCCTACTATTAAAAAGTTACAATAGTAATAAACATTGTTATTGCTTTTATTCTTACTACGCTATATGTAGAAAGTTGAATACATTTCTGTCATTTCCGCTTTCTATATACTTTTTCTCATTCTCTTTTCATATATATTATTTCTATGACCGATACTATATATATACTTTAAAAGCATAATTCTATTGTGTATGCATTATTAGTTGGTCACCGGCATCTAATTAACGTTTCTCATGTTCCCAATAATAAGCATACCATTTTTCATTACGTTTTGAATGCCTTATCATTATTGTCACTGGTGAATAACCATTCTATCACTATACATGTCCTACATTATTATAATTAATATGAATAATTTATTCTAGTTTCATATGTATATGTTTATAATTGTTGTTGATATCGTTACATCATTTATATGCTATATCTCAACCAGTTTGTCTATATCCGTTATGTTTATAAATCTATCTCTTGCTTTTGCATGCATGAAAAGATTGCCACTTCTTTAATATACATTAATATCCTAGTTATTTTTCACATTTACATTTGATCTTTGTTTCTTACCTGGTTTGTTTAGTTAATATTTCTCCAGACACGATTTGACAATGTATCTCAATACATTTAAATATCCTATCCACATATTGTTTAACTAACGTAGAAAATTTTCATACTATTCTTTAATTTCTCTTCATTTCGCTTAGATAGAGGGAAACAAACAAAAGTGCTAAACTTGAAACATTATTCATCTCATATTTAATCGTCTTCTCCGTAAGCGAATAAACTAATTTCAATTTTGAAACGTTGTAAGCGGAATTTCAGTATAGACCAATGAGACTCGTAGACGATTTGTAGACATGTGACATTTAAAAGTCGATATCAAATAAACATTCAGGGATGGTGTATGCGAACTATGTATTGGTTAAACATTCATTATCTACTGTTTTGCAAGAAACAATCAATTTTTTTATTTATCATGACGAAACAATCTGTCTGGTTAACAGACATTTGTATATCTCATTTGTTTAAGTTTTCGAATTTCTTCTTATCTGTTATCTGTTGTAATACTGTCTGAATTTGGACAGCTAGATGGCCTGATATGTCTCGTCATGAATATGTACACATTATTAGTAATAACAATATACTAGACTGTTTGAATCCAACTTGAACCCTAGTACCTGTTTATATATTTAACTTCTACTTCATTCGATGAATTACGAAATTTTTATCAAACCCATTTCTGTCGTTTGTTTATTTTTAAGTATATTCATTTCTTTTCTGATACAACTAACCAAATAGTTATCGGTCCGTTGGAAAATGTTGCTAGCTATTGACTGTAAATGCAAGTGATGTTATCCTAAAGTACACATCATATTTTGTGTTATGGATTTGTTGCAGATTCTTAACAGTAATTCCTTATACCAGCAAGCCAAAACTCTACACATTTTCAGTGGAGAATTAAACATTTAGACTGCTCCCGCTAACTTTGCTTCTTTGGAACTTACAACTTACCTAATATCTGTCTCAGCTTTAAAAGATGATGTTTAGGTTTTTAAATGAAGTTATTCGGATGTCGTAAATCAATAGTTAAAGGCCCTACATGACTTAAATGTATATCATCTACAATGACGCAGTTGCATCCACTGCTTACATTTCTTTGAATTTGAATCGTCTAATTTTAGTTGCATAGGTTTATTGACAAATTGACTACATTCTCATCGTTTATTTCACCTTATTATTTTCTGTTTTTTGAATTTTTTAAAATGTTTTGATGAATCAAAATCTATTCATTTTTATACGTTTTCTGTTTTTCATCACTCTATTTGTCTACTACACCACTCAATCTTCTTATTTAAGTACACCATTTATTGGAACCCCTCTGATGGATAGGCAGTATTAACAAAGTGGACATATTTAATTCCAAAACGAAGAGAATGGGTTTGCTGTTACAGTACTCGATTCTCAATTGACAGATCACGGGTTTGAACCTCATTTATCGACTCTTGTTTAGGCAGATAATTTATGTCACTTTTCCCTTACACAATTAATCTGGATTAAAGCAAACTTTTACTCGGTAAATGTGTGCAACATTTGTTCAATTGCACATTATATTAGTTTTAGTATTACTGACTTCTTGAATGGATAGTGAATGCTATTGATTTCTGAATGCAATAATTTTATTGCAAAAGTATTTATCCAATTATATTTTATCAAATACAAAAGCGTTATGATCTCTTTAGGTATCTATTAGTGATTCAATTTATATATGTATTTTGATGCTTCTTAAAACAATTCAATAAATTATCAAATATACGTATACCACATTATTAATTCTTTCTACCATTTGACGTGAGCTTATATTTATAGCATATGTTTCAGTAGACAGAATGATCGATGTATTGATCTGTGTTTGAGATCTATTTCTTCTAATTCAGAAACTACTCATTTAGTCCCCTGGAAAATTAAACCATATTTCCTCAGAAAGCTAAACCAAATCTTGACCAACAACAAGTCCTCATTAACATATTTCACTTCTTATTTGGTCTATATCTGATTAACCTAGAGTATCATACAATCTGTAGATATCATACATGGGATATGTATTCCAGTAAATTAATTGACTGAAGAGAATAATCGTTTTTGCTGTTTTGATGGTGAATCATCTAAAACTTAATGAATATTATGTAAATAGGTTGAAAATCAGGTCAACTTCATTTTCTCTTACATGTAAAAATTTATAAAAAGTATATCTTTCTATTTGGATAAATTTGTTAAGGATAAATTCTTTATGCATTTCATAGATACGATAGAAATTCAATCTTATTAGTTATTTCGTTATGTTCAGTGTCACTTTTGATTTGTTTTTTGTATTGTATTTGTGCAATATTCATAACCATATAATTTGATTTATGCTTTTTGTACATAAATGAAGTTTACTTCATTGTGAGGAAACTAAGTTGTTTTATGAATTGCTTAATTATCTTTTTTGTCATTTCTATTTGATCGGAATAATTGCTATCATTAGTTAGCGGTTATTCGTGTGTGCTATTATTCATATTTTCTTATTTTTAAGGGGGGGACTGTGAGACCCCACCCCAGTGACAAAAACTACACTCCCGAGCGCACCCGATTAGGGTTCATCGCGAATTTCAACCCACCAAGGTGCGATGGTGAACCTCCACCTGGGGTCAGAGCATCCTTGAACCCGGCGCTAGATATTAAGTATGTGAGGAATATACTAGTCTTGATTCGAAATGTAGGTACTTGCAATTTTTCTTAACTCCCCTATCCTGATTGTAACTGATTACTGATAGAAAATTTTCCATCTCTATAGTTTAAATTGTTTATCGTTTAATAATTCTAAAATATGTTGAATCTGTCTTATGAGTAATATACATTGTATTCAGTATTATCATATCAATTATTGTTGACATTTATTCTCATACTTTCTTTCTTAGTTAATTTGGAAGAATTTATGGCGTTAATGACAAAGGAAATATAATTCACCAAATTGCTTATTGAATCAAACCAACAACTGTGTACTTAATTATCCCAGTTAAATACATATCTTCATTCTTCTGAACTCAGTTTGATATGACCAGTATAGTTTGAATCTGCCTTCCTTTTGAATTTGATGCTGTTTTTTGTGTTTGTGAATAATCAGCTCCCGATATGGGTGGTGATTATTGTTGATGACAGTTGATCTACACTACAAAAGTATTTCATCTTATTTATTTCCTCTTACCGGGCATCATCACCTATGTATATTATCATTCTGATCAATTCTTTAAAATATTTCAAAAATAATCTACATTCTTCTACTTTTATTGTTCACAGCTTTTTCACATCTATGTAAAATACATTATATACGTATATAAATATCATGTATATTGTCTAACGTAAAAGCAACAAGAAGTGCTGTAAGTCATAGTTAAACATAATCTATACGAAAATATAGGTTTCATAACTTTTGATAACCTGATTTCATTGTCGCTGTAATCATCAAGTAAATACACTTGATTATTGTGTGGTGTTATGTAATAAAATCAACTTTACATATCTTTTGTTAACGTGATAATCAGTTTTGATAATAACAATTGGAAAAATCCAGGACTTTGTCATTGTTTATCAGATTATATAATCCATTCGATAGAGTACTAACCTGTTAATGTAAGGATTGTTGATATAAATATATTCACTTTTAACGCTCTCATCAATTGAATCGAATAATTAATCACGTAGCAGTAACCAATCCCTTGTCTAGACCTCAGCTATGAACATATCTTACTAGTGGGTATCATAGCGCACTTTGTTTGATGTTAAGTATTCGAAGGTAATCAACAGAAAGTCAGCTACAACGTAGGACTAGGCACATATATACATCGGTCCAAGTTGCCACACCTCATTAGCGCAACAAGATAAACACCAAATTCATAGAAGTAGTCACTTCAGTGGTAGTAATGCATAAAAGAAAGATTGTATATATAGTACAGGAAGAAAGAATTAGTTCGCAGAAAGAAAAACATAAAGCAATTTTAATCTCACGGTTTAAGGGAAGATAAAGAGTGATGGGTTCTGAGCAATGTCACCCAGAGTCTCCAACCATTAGTTACGGTAGTCACGCTGACCCCAACTAAGTAGTCTACATTTACCAAAATGCCTCAGACTAGGAGTTAGTGACTTCAAGGACTGATGCCACTTTTTGGTTTGGCCACCCCTAACTTTCTTCCAACCGTCTCCAACACTAGTCAGTATTGCGCGTCGTGGTGAACGATGTTCAGGCATGCGTAAAACGTGGCCCAACCATCTCAGTCGATGAAGATTCGAGACCTCATCAACTGATTTATCATCATTCCCTAATACTCTGCGCCTAACCTCACTATTACTTACCCGGTGATCCAAGCAGATAAGAGCAATATTTCTAAGACATCTTTGACCAAATACTAGTAACTTACGAGTATCCTCTACCCTTCAACACCACGTTTCTCAGCCGTAAAGAAGAACAGAACTAACTGTTGTGCAGTATACTCATCCCTTAATTGATAGACGGATATCTCGCCCTTGACATAGGTGACGTGAGTTAACAAAAGCCAAACGAGTTTTCTGAGTCCGTGCTGAGATTTCATCAGAAACCATCCCATTTGGGCTGATCAGATGTGTTCAACTACTTCACTTCCGATCCTTAGTTTGGGTGTTGATTCAGGTCAGTCCTGAAGCAACAACTTGCATTTAGAGTGGGAAGAACGCACACCAAACACCCTGGCATTGTTGGTCACTGCTACTGAAGGACTCTGTATTTTATCAGCGTCTTCACGAAACAGGGCTATGTCATCTGTGTATTTCAAGTCCATAAGTGGACCTCTTGGTAGGTGATCAATTCCTGAAAGTTCAGTCGACGAGAAAGTTATTTCCAGCAGTAGGTCTGTGATGACATTAAACAAAAACGGAGATAGTACACAGTCTTATCGGACACCATTTGAGGTTGCAAAATCAGATGACACTTCGCCATAAGCTCTGACTCGACTGGTATTTCATACACTTAGTTCCCTTTATTATCTTAAAGAGAGTAAGAAAAAAGATTGATGCAGAATAATATAGATTAATTTTATTTCGTTAGGTTCTCATCAGTTGCTTACGACCTAAAATATTTAAAATTCAACATTATTACAGATATTGACATACTTATACATAAGAGGGTGATTAAAGATGAATAAATGTATCATGGTGCACCAATCTTTGTTCTTGCTATCGACCGGCATTGTTCGAGTAAAAAGCTCTGAGAAGATTTCTGACGTACACCTTTCCATACAGACTTTTCCACAGAACGTCTCGGTTTACAGAGTCAAATGCTGCTTTTAAGTCAAGATAAATTATCATTGTTGCACGCCGATAAGCATGCCAGTGTTCTAAAATCTGACGAATGGTGAATATGTGGTCGATGCAACCACGATCAGGTCTGAAACCAGCCTGATTTTCTCGAGTTTGCAGTTCACGAGTCTTTGTTAGGCACCCGATAATTATTGTGGTTAGTATTTTAGATGCTATATTGGTCAAACTAATCCCTCTATGGTTATCACAGGCTGATTTTGGTCGTTTCTTATATATTGGGACAATCAGTGATTGCGACCAGTTGGATGGGATCACATCCACTTCCCAGATTTTAGCTAAAATATTAGTCAACCTAATCGCTAAAATTGGACCCTCATACTTGAATACCTTTGGAGTTAATCCATCTGGACTAGCTGCACTTCCTCGTTTCAGACTAGCTATAGCTTTTCGAACTTCATTTAGAGTCGGCGTACCTACTTGAATGTTCCATTCAGGCTGTTTGGGAATGGTGAGTAGTTGAAGGCCAGCTGAACTGCTCTCTAAAGTATTCCGCCTATCGTTCTAAACGTCTAGACTGAGAGCGGAAAAGTGTCGTCTTTTTCCCAGATATTGTCACTTGAACTTGACTTCTTTATTCCAGTTTCTTTTATTAATCTGAAAAGCTATCTTGAGTTATCTACAGCCACTGCCTTTTCTATTTCTTTTGCTTTCGTTGCCCACCGCTGCTCATGGTCATTCCTTAGACTTTTGGCTAACCTAGATCTGATTCACTTTCTTTCTTCATCGTGTTCAGAGCCTGATAGGATGAGTTTACGAGAATCTATCAGTGCAATAGACTTAGTAGAAATCCATTGGTTTTTCTTAACCCTTTGGTTTAAATCACCAATAGATGTCACTACTGTTTCCACAGTTGTTTGTATATCTTTCCAAGCAACATCTGGGCCAACCTCTTTTTCAGAACTACCTAAGTGTGACCTCAGTTATTCCTGGAATCTACTTTTGACATCCTCGTCACTAAGAGCAACTCTAGTACGTCTTATTTTGGTTTTTCTGCGTCCAGCGAGGTGCAAGCAAATGCGTGCTCGTATTAGAACTTGATCGGAGTTCAAGCAGGTATTCCAGAATGAGCGACAATCTTCTATCGACCCTCTCCAACGACGACTGATGGCAATATGGTCTATTTGAGTCCATCGTTGGTTTGGTGCGAGGGGTCGCCATGTTAGACGATGTCTCTCCTTATACTTAAAATTAGTGCTTGCTAATCATAAACGATTGTCTGAGCACAGTTGCAACAGACAATCACCACTATCTGTTCGCTGAACCGGAACACTATAATACCTAAATGTCCTTCTGTTTGGTTTAAGCTAACTACTTAAGCATTAAAGTCACGTGCTACGAGTACTATGTCTGAACGTTTAGCTTTCTGAAGAAGTTCAGAGAGCTTTCTGTGAAAGTCATCTTTCACTTCATCCGGGCTGCAGTGACTGGGAGCGTAGGCAGAAACGACGAAAAGACAACAACGTGTGGCCTTATCCTTCCGAGTTCTCACAAAGCCATTTAGACGAACAGCACATATGTGATTGTTAACAAAGATCCATTCTAATAGTGTTTGTTCTGTCCTCAAACTTAGTGCTATGCCTACACCCACCAGACCACGGGAACTAGCCATCGGGTCGCCAGATGTACGGAGGGTGTATTTCATCGACTCTCTGTTTTGGCGAGGTGAGGTCAAGTGAATGACCACACTAGGACCCTGTATGTGTGTTTCAGAGACACAGCATACATCAATGGTACGAGATTCTAGGGTTTTAGCCAAGGAGGCCTGCTGGCCGATTTGACATAGGGCGTGCACGTTGAAGGCTCGAATGTGTAGTTTGGAGCGAGGTTTCAGTAGATCTGGGGCAGTGTTTTGAGCACTAGAATCGTTGGCCATGGTGACATTTGAGGAGGAAGTCAAAATAGTTAAAAGTCGATGTAGGAGGAATTATAGAAACTGAAGAGGGAGGTTGATTATGAATACAGTGGTCTTGAGTGCTGTTAGAGGTATGAGAGCGGTTATCACTTCCCGGTTGCCCACACCGTGGAAGGGTTCTTCTGGAGGTGCCTGAAAAGGAAATTGGATTAGAGGTGGTCCTAGAGACCTGAGAGCGTGACCGCAGTGCCCCTCTTACAACTGACGAAGTCGGTCACACACGACCTTTTTGTGAGTAATTCTCGTGTTTGCTCCGTATTTGTTGAGACCTTACCATCGGAGGTCCGTGGGATAAGGCGGGGTGTGCATTTTTAGGGTCGACCTTTTCTAACCCCACCCTTCCTTTGTGGGAGGGAAACATCGCTGTCATGCTGGTTGTCGGAGGGAAACACGTTGTTACTGTCACACCTCTGTACAGTCAACAGTACGACTTCGCTCTCAGATCTTGGGCTTGCTGGTTTTAGTATTACCGCTTTTCAACCGACCTTTCTGACATGGTAGGACTATTAGGAACGATTATTCCAGCCAGTATAGCTCTGTTGGTTCATTATGACAGGCAAGCCCGACCACCACGTCAAAGTATCAGCAACGGTCGGGAATTAACAGCATTCCCTTAATTTACTGTTTATGCTAGGTGACATGAGATAGCGAGATGTGCTCGAAAACTGGAGGGAAATACTGCTCTCTGTGGGATTCAGATT